TGTGTGTGTGTGTGTGTGTGTATTAGTTACAAAATCTATTTTCAACTTGAACAAAGGGGTGTGTCTAGCCTGTCAATCAAGTCATAGCCAATGAGGCACCTGTGTGGGCATGGCCTTGTCCTAAGGATTCTGGGAACTCCTGTCTTCCTCCCTGGAGGCAGGACCCTCTCTCTGCCTTCCCTTTCCTGCTGCTGAGACACTCAGAGAGCAGGAGGAGACAGATGGAGACCCAGGCCAGCATTGAGATGCTTCTACTGCCACTGAATCCCCAAGACCTTCTACCCACTGACCTGTGATTTTCCTGCATTCGGCATCATTGTATGTGTTGTGTGAGTCTAAAGAGGAATTTGGTATCAGACTAGTATCTAACATATGGGCTAATATCAGATGTATGGACATGATCTGAGCTGGATTGGGATGTTTTCTCAATATACAATTTCTCTTTTATATAAAGCTCTTTCTTATACATATGTGTCTATGAATTTTTTCTCAACCCAGAGTAATATATATACATATATATATATAAGTTTATATCGTAAAAAGAATATAACAGCAAATTACACCACACAGCAGTACACAGAGCTCAGTCCAACTCAGTTTCGTGGGTCAGTTACTATACTGAAGGCCCTTCTAACTCATGACCACTAGCCCAAGGCCAAGAAAGCACAGGCCAGTAGTGCAGCATGGGGAAGCAGGTGGTAGTGGAGCATCAGTGTAGCAATGCAAAGTGGCAGGCTGGAAGTGCGGCATCTGGTGGTGGCAAGATGAGCAGAGTTGGCCCATGGGCAGCAGACACGGCAGGGTGGGGCAGTGTTGCGGCGTGGAACAGCGACATGGTCCATGAGTTGCCTTGGCCAGGTGGAGCAGAGCACTGTACAGCCCACAAGTAGCAGAGCACACATGAGGAGACAGGGTAGCTAGATCAGGCAGGACGCTGGTCCCACCACCAGGGAGTGTGAGAGAGGCACTGGCCTCCAGAGAGCCATTTATTTCAATCCCATATCCAATGAGGTCATCAAGCTGCGACCTGACAGGCTAAACTCCACCCATACCTTCTTACAGGTACCATCTTGGCACAAAAACCCCCTAACTATCACAGATGGTATTGATTCATTTTTTTCATTCAAAAAGTATTTATTGAATGCCTGCTCTATGTCAAGTTGATGGCTTAATTTTGGACATCCAATGATGAACGAAATACAGTCTGTCCTCAAGGAGTTTATAATCAAGCAGAGGAGGCAGTAGAATTATCACACACAGAAGTATATATCATTGTCTTGAGGGACATCAAGGTAAACTGACATAACATAGTTCACAAAGACAATGTTCCACATTCTACTTTGGTGGGTAGCAACTGGGACCTTACACTCTTCTAAGATGCAACTATTAGTCTCTCCCTGTTTGAGGGAAAGAAGAATGAAGAAAATAGAAAGGTAAATGGAAATAATTAGTCCAGTGGACTGATGGACCAATAAACACCAGTCTCTACAACACTGAGACCAGAAGAACTAGATGTTATCCAGCAACCACTACCAACTATTCTGAATTAGAAGTTCTTGGATAGAGAGGGAGAAAAAACGTGGACCCAAACTGGTAACTGCTTAAAAAGATCAGGATTACCGGCTGGAATAAAGACTGTTGGGATCTCCTAGAGCAACGCCCTTAGTCACACTTCATGTCTTTAAATGAACTCACCCCCATGGCACAATTTTCATCCAAACAATAGACTAGCCTATAAGAGGAACAGTAACATGTGAGGTAAACACAACTTAGTATAATCAACCATTTAAGATAAAAAAGAGCAGCATTTACCCAAGGACAGAGTTCAGAAATGTTATTAAAGAAGTGATGGTATATTAAAGGGATTTCAATGACATGAAACAAAATATATATGAATTGTTGAATGTAAAACTGATGACCTCCTCTGTAAACCTTCACTCACTTCACAATAAAAAATTATTGAACAGAGAAGCACATATTTACAAATTTTGGTAAGCACTTTAGATGAAGTTAGGGAGGTATACACATTGCAGTGCGTGAAATTATTTAACATGGCTCTTTTAGTCATAGTCTTTTTAACTCTCACCAAATGACTTTTCCCTGATGGCTTGAGTAGGAGAACATGGAGAAAGATACTCATAAAATTTAGTTTTCAGTGACTGTTAACAGGGTTACCTATGATTGTTAGCCTGAAGAATATAAAATGAGCCACCTCAGAAGCAGAAAGTGGGGCTCTCACTACCAGGAAGAGAGAAGAGCTAGGAGTGAAACCGCATCCTTTTGCTTCCAAAGATCCCTGCCCACTGAGAGTCCTTTATCCAAGAGACAATATGCCATAACACTGGAGGAGTGGTAGAGGGGCAGCAGCATCAGAGCTAAGAGCTAGAGCATCAGAGTAGTGGACTTCTCTTCAGGGAGGAGGCTGACTTGTGGAGTAGGATACCTGTAGGCACTTAAGTGGGGGAGCTAGGTTTGCTTACCCACAATACTAAAGCTGAGTGCCTTCCGACTGAGGCTTATGACATAGTGGCATACTCTTTGGACATTTATTGGCTGCCCTAAAAAAGCATTGGAGCAAAGTATTTGCCCATGAGCGTGTGACTGAAAGGACAAAAGAAGGCTGCCTGCAGGCACAGCTGAGAAGATGGTGCTCTGTATGACTAAATATATGCTACGATAGTTGGGTTTTGTGTCAACTTGACTTGTCCAGGATTCTCAATGGTCCTACTACTTAACCCAATAATGTATGCCCAGTAATTTCAGGGGGCCCAAGCTGTGACCATAACAGTGTAGGTAGTTCCATGATGGGATCTGCAGTGGGTAGGAAAATGGTTTTAAGAGGACTAGGGAGGAGTACAGCTTCCTTATTCTGGTCCCTGCCCTGACGCAACTGAAAAGAAGTCTCCTTGAGGGTGTGGCCTACTCTTACATAAGCAGTCTCTGGGGTAAGGCTGGGCTCTTCTTGTTGGTATGGACCTTGCATTTCTCATTGATCTCAGGTTTTTGGGACTTGAAACAATGGCTCACCATATTGCCTGCCTCCCTTTGGAAGCAATCAGTGGCTTGCCATATTGCCTACTGACCTTGGATTAAGGTAACCCTGCCATGAATTTGACATTGGATCCATCTGCCTCTGCCTTTATCAGCCTGTGATATTCAAACTGCTCTCCGATTTATCAACCACAATAGCTACATGAGTCAGGAAAAGCCTCCAGGTCAACATCTGACACACAGGATTGAACCAGTTTGGACTTAACTGCTTTTATAACTGTGTGAGACTCTTTCTCAATACCCATCTATCTATCTAGATAGATGCCACTGTTTTTGTCTCTAGACGAAATTGCAAGCCTAATACAAACCCCACAATCATGCTGATTGTCTTTGAGTACTATGGGGCCACTGGGATGAATGATCAAACCTAGTTGAAAAGAGAGTGTTGTGGTAGGGATAATTAGTGTCAGAATTAATAGGAAGGTTGGCATGTAGGTCATGTCAGATCTCCGCCTCATAAAAATTTGGGGCAGATGATGCTGATGATGGTGACTTTTCTTCTCGGTTGTGCTGCTGGAGGAGGTTAGATAAGGCATCCAGATAATCTTTTACACACATGTGAACCAGATTTGATCTGATTTTTAAAGTAGATGATTGTTGAGTTGCAATTTGGAAAATGAGGCATTGTCAAAGAGAAAGGAGTCCTGATGATGCAGTGGGGTAAGAGTTGGGCTGATCTCTGTAAGTTCAGTGATTCAAACCCACCAGCCCCACTGCTGGAGAAAGATGAGGCAGTATTCTTTCATAAAGATGTACAGCCTCAGCAATATTATGGGTCAGTTCTATTCTGTCTGAGAGAGTTGCTATAAAAAAGAGTCAACTCAATGGCAGTGGGCAAATTAAGGAGACAAAAAGGGAGGTGTAGTGCTCCAGGCATTTTCAAGGCCCTATGATAGGTAAGGGAATGAAGCAAGCCACTGTGGCTCAAGCCAAGAGAGTCAAAGGTAGATTACTAAGTATGGGTGGCAGGTATGGTGCACATAACTCAGGACTTCATAAGCTTTGCTATAGTTTTTAGACTTTTATCATGTGGTCACTGGGAGACATGGGAATATTTAGACAATAGGTATCACATGATCTAGTTTTTTTTTTTTTAAACATCATTGGCAATTAGGACCATAGGGGCACAATGATAAAAAGGAAAATATTTATAGGGCTACAGCAGTATCCTGGCAAAAGATGGTGAAGGCTTAAAAGAGAGAGGCAGTGATAAAGAGACTCGTATAAGGAAGAGTTCAGGATGTGCTTTGGAAGTAGAGTCTACAGGACCTGGTGATTTAAGTTTAGCTAGCACAGTAGCTATGCATCAGCATAGACTTGATGGGAGTGAGTTGGGTTTTTGTTTTTAGCACAGGAGCGACACAAGGTCAATTATATTCCCATCAAGATGGACTAATGGCATTTAGGAAATTTCCCCTTCATCACTGACAAAGATTCAAAGCTCCCAGTGGTGTGAACGATCAATAGTATTTTCTGTGGCCCAATGAGCATGCTCAAACCTAAGTTCCCCAGCCCTCTCCCAGCGGGTGAGTAGTGGCTTGGAATCCTCACCGTTTCCTGGGCAACGCCATTGTGGGGCTGTGTGGGCGGGGAGGGGTAACTAAGGGCAACTGCCAGAAGAGAACTCGGGAAGAGAGGGAGAGTCAGAGGAGAAAATGGGCAACGCGTGCTGTAGCCCCAGCCACCATGGGTGTTCGAGGGCCTAGCTCGAGGCGACAGCTGAGGGCGGGAGGGACAGGAGCGCGCGCCTGTGATTGGTGGGCTGGAGATACTTGGGCCGTTGTGATTGGGCGCAGCCAGGACCAAGGGCAGCATTTTGAACCGCCTAGGGTTCTGGGTAGCAAAGGCCTTGGAAGGATCTTAACTGAAAGGGGGAGGGGAAAGTCGCCAACAAACGGCTGAGCTCACAATCTGGGCAGACACCAGACGGGGTGTCCCCTCCCCCCACCATGGAGAGAGCAAGGCCTGAGCCACTCCCTTCGCAGCGCCAACTGCCGAGGGCGACCCTGCCACGCCCGTTGCGCCCCACTCCATCCTTGCTGCCCGTTGAGGGGACCTCCTTTCGGGCAGCAGCCGTCGAGGCTCCTCCGTCGCCACCCACCTCGTGCGAGGCCGCCATTGCGACCTTGGCCTCGTCGTGTTGCGGGGAGGCCCCAGCATCGGGCATACAGCCCGTGGCACGGCGGCTGCTGCAGGTGAAACGGGACCAAGTGTTTTTGCTGCCTCCAGGGTCACCACTGACCCAGGCCCGAGAGGAAGCAGTTGCCGCCCCTTCCGCGCAGGCGCGACTTCTGCAGTTGAGGCCAGAGCTGCTGCTTCTGCCTCCGCCACCGCCCGCGTCCGATGGCGCCCCCTGCAGGCCGGACGCGCACCTAGCGCAGCCCCGAGCGCTGCACGTCAAGGCTGAGAAGCAGGAGTCCAGACTGGGCTTGGAATCGTCGGTGGGGCCCCGGAGAGCCGTCGAGACCGGTCCCAGGGTTTCTAGAGTGGCCAAAGCGGAAGGACCCGGGCCAGCCCTCGACAGCCGCCGAGGGGAAGAGAAAAAGGTCAAGTTGGAGGCAAAGGAGGTCATGAAGGACCTAGGGATTGGTGGTGAAGGCAAAAGCCTGGTGACTCTCCGTGAAGGAGTCATCAAAACCGAGGAGCCCGAGAGACTCCGTGAGGACTGCAGGCTCAGTGCAGAGCCCGAGCCCAGTGACTTGATGCACGGCAGCAAGGAGGTCATCCTAGCCCAGCCGGCCAGTGCCTTTGGCCCCCACCAACAAGACCTCAGGATCCCTTTGACCCTCCACACCGTCCTCCCTGGGGCCCGGATTCAGTTTCAGGGACCTCCTCCGTCAGAGCTGATACGCTTGACCAAGGTCCCCCTGACCTCAGTGCCTATTAAAATGCAGTCCTTACTGGAGCCTTCCGTAAAAATTGAAACTAAAGATGTCCCGCTCACGGTGCTTCCCTCAGATGCAGGTATTGGACGGCAGGGCCTTCTGGTTTTCCCATCTTCGTCTGTGTTGCCCCATAGCTGTCGTGTCAGCAGTTCAGAAGTCTAAAACCTAGACAACTAAACTCCTGGAATGGATACTTTTCAGGGCAAAGGCTGCATCGGTATCACTTCTAACTGACGTACCTAAAACACTGAGTATGCAGGGCTGGGATCTGACTGAGTATATAAACAAAAATGGAAATATTCTTGCTAAATAACACAAAGCCTTAGGTATATATGATACAACGACTGCATAGTAAAATAGTGCCTTAGTGTAGCTTAGAACTTGTATCAAGAAACAGGAAAGTTAATACTAATTAATTATAGGGGTTATTCATATCTAAATTGAACAATAATCATTTTCCTAGGAGAACAGAACTTGATTAAATACAGTACTTTAATATTTTTTAAAGCCCCAAAGTTAGATATTGAACATAAAGTTGCTATAAAATTAGCTGGAAAAAATGTTTTAAAAGAACTGACTATAGTTACAGGAGTAACAACTACAAATAGATTTTTATTCCCGTCCAGTCTTTTCTAAGATGTTCTTAGCTAATTCTTATTTTTAGATTAGTTCAGACAGAACTAATTTACAGTGCCAGTGAATACCTTGGAAAGTCATAATAATCGACAGTTCCTATTTAATTAGCTTTTGTATCGTGTTTGGTCTTGTTTGATAGTTTATAGTTCTTTCCATTCCTTTGCTTTTGTCTTTGGTTTTTAAACTTTTTCATTTTCTAAAGGAAAGAATGGGAATGCGTGCATTATACTAAGGTCATTCTTTGCACTATAACCAAAATTATGTATCCAGTAACTACAATCAGGAGCCCAGGTAGTGCAATGGTAAACATTTTCAGCTGCTAACTGGAAAGTCAGTGGTTCAAATCTCCCAGCCACTCAAAAGGAGACATAAGTAGTATCTGCTCCCATACAGATTTGCAGCTGTGCTCTGTTCTACAGGCTCCCTATGTACCAGAGTCATAATCAACAACAGCAATGAGAACTTGATAATGAACATAGACTATAGGAAGTTTACAGACAATTTTTTTTGATGAATTGCATAAAAGATGGGAATTTAGCCACCTTATTGTAAATTCAGCAGCCTCTGTGACTCTAAACAAGTCATGTTTATTAATTTTTGTATTTTTTCCCTATTAGCACATGAGCCCCTCCTTGACAGGAGCTTCATCCTCACGGTGAACTACAACTAAGATAGTAAAATATTGTGCATATTTTTGCTAGAGTGGCATGTGAGTGAGTTTCTTTAGGCATTTAGGGAGCCCTGGAGGCTCAGTGTTGGGCTAACAAAAGGGTCAACAGTTTGAATTCACCAAAGACTCTGTGGGAGAAAGATGAGGAAGTCTACTTCCATAAAGATTGATAGCCTAGGAAACCCCAGGAAGAAGTTCTACTCTGTCCTGTGGAGTGGCTATGAGTTGGAATGGCTTCCTCTACAGCCATAGGTGGGTTAACTATATACTAGGGAACCCTGGTGGCTCAGTGGTTAAGCTTTAGGTTGCTAACTTAAAGGTCAGTGAGTGGTTCAAGCTCTCAGCCAGACAGACATATAAAGATTATGGCATTGGAAGACTTTGGGGGCAGTTTTACTCTGTTCTACAGGGTCACTAGGAGTCAGAATTGACAGCTGTTGGTTGAGTGGGGTTTACCTCATGCTAGGATTATAGCCATGGATAAAGCCATGGTTCCTGTGCCATAGAAATAGAATATTTTTAGTGGGAAGTAAATAAAATGCTCATCATTTTTCAAGGTATTCTTACAACTTAAAGAAAAAGTAATCCAGCAGTGTACTGTGTCTTTGTCCAGTGCATTATTCTCTTTGAGAAAAAGGAGTCATTCTAAGCTACAGGAATTCTGGAATATTGGCAGTTCTCTTAAGATACTTTAAAAATAAACATGGATGGACATGCAGGTCACTCTAAGATTGTGTGTGAGTGTGCCACATTAATTTAGTCTCTTAATTTTTGTCATGTAGGAATACCAGATACTCCCTTCAGTAAGGACAGAAATGGTCATGTGAAGCGACCCATGAACGCATTCATGGTTTGGGCAAGGATCCACCGGCCAGCACTAGCCAAGGCTAACCCAGCAGCCAACAATGCAGAAATCAGTGTCCAGCTCGGGTTAGAGTGGAACAAACTTAGTGAAGAACAAAAGAAACCCTATTATGATGAAGCACAAAAGATTAAAGAAAAGCACAGAGAGGAATTTCCTGGTAAAATAAACAAAGCCTTTTCCTAACTTCTTATAAATTAGTGTATTTTGGTAAGGATTAGGTTGAGATTGAAAAGCAAAACACATCCTTTTCCCTCTATTCTGATGTATGCATAACGAGATGTATGACTAACATTATAGTCATGATTGGATCAGTACTGAATATAAGTTTTCATAACTTAACAACAAACTATCCGGTCTCATATTTTATCTATTTATCTATTTATTTATTTATTTTTCTGGTCTCATATTTATCAACTCATATGAACGAATACAGTAATGCTGTGGTTTTGATTTAAATTTAGAGAGATCTAAATGTAGTTAAGATAAAGTTCCAGAGTTTTTGCTCAACTCTACTTTCTGAGTTTCTGCTTTTACAGAATTAAGGCAATACATCTGAGTGTTACATTGTTCATTTGGGTGGCTGAGGAAAGCTGAAATTTATTTCTAAGTCATAATTTTTCAAGAATTCTCAAAAATTTGGTGTTAAAATCATAGCAATAGAAAAAAAACCCTGCAGTACACCCTAAAAGATAATGAGAATGCAGGAATCATCACACTCCATTTAATAATGCATAGTTATCAGAACACAGTCCTGCCTTCTGATTGATATTTTATCCTCATTATGACGTAGTTTTGAATGAGTCTAATTCCTATGCACCAGGGAGGACACTGAGATTATTCAACTTGGGTAAATAAAATGTACAGTATATGGCCAAAATGACTGTGAATGGCGGGACAATAAGGAACATATTCCCCTGAAATATGACCGTAAAGGTTCCAAGGAAGAGCAGAAGCAGCAGCTCAGGGAACCAGGGAATATTCTGGTTATACAGTGGTGATGGCTGCCCTTGTTCCATTCTTCTGATCTTGAAAGACAATTAATTGTAAACTTGGAAACTGCCAACTCTAAAAAAGTGACTTAACCAGTTAAGAAAATTATTGACATATAATCCACATACTATATAATTCCATAGTTTAAATATTAAAAAGTTGTTCAGTCATCACCACAATAAATTTTAGAACATTTTCTTCAATCTTGTATTCTTTATTATTAGCTCCTTGTTACTCAGAAAACTCCCCTGCTATTGCCCTAAGAACCTATCACTACAATTACTTTATAGATTTGCCTAACCTAGAGTTCACGTAAAGAAAATTATACCAAAAAAGAAACCCAACAACAAAAACAAAAAAACATCAACCCAAACTAAAACAGAAAATAATACTTTTTGAGTCCAGCATAAAAACATTAGTGATGAGTCATTAGTGACCATTAATTGCATTGTAAGATATAGATATAAGGAAACAGGAGATGAGTAATGTCTTAGGAAGGCATTATTTCATGGGTAGAGCAAAGGCTTTTAGCTTCAAGCGTAATGGAGCTCGTTGATTTTACTACAGATTCAATATGTGTCTTGGAATATAAGAAAATTGGCCCTGCTTTCTTTTGAATTGCGGATTACAGTATTGGAAGTAGGCACTATATGGTTATGTATGTGGCAGTGTGCAGTGAAGGGAGTCATTCATAGAAATTTCTGTGCATGATTGGAGCTGGAAAATATACCTTAGACCAATGCTGTCTTCTTTTTCTTCTCCTTCTTCTTCTTTTTTCAAAAGAATAATAAAGTTGAAGTACTTTGGATTTTAATGTGAAGTGAATTATTTAGAAGGAGTCTACATGTTTTAATTAAAAGTAGTTTATCTTCTTCTATAGGTTGGGTTTATCAGCCTCGCCCAGGGAAGCGGAAACGCTTCCCTCTAAGTGTTTCCAGCGTATTTTCTGGTACCACACAGAACATCATCTCAACAAATCCTACAACAATTTATCCTTATCGGTCACCTACCTACTCTGTGGTTATTCCCAGCCTACAGAATGCCATCACTCATCCAGTTGGTGAGTTAGCTTTATTATAGACTTATGCTTTTTTAATAGTTGTCTGGAATTTTACTTCTGATGTTGAAATGTTGCTTCTGTTAGACATAAGAATTTAAAGCAATAATGTTTTTTTTTTTAAATAAAAGACTATAGAGAAAGTGAGAAAATTAAATTGGACAAGGAAAAGTTTCAGTAGACATAAAGTCCTTGCTTTGCAAGACTAGGAGTTATTTTATGTACGAAGCCTCTGACCTTTTAAGCAAATCAGGATGAGCCCATAGATTAGGCAGATAATGTTGGAAATGACTGACCTAATTCAATAGGAAGTAGGCATGTATTTTTACTATCAACCCCAAAGGACTGGCCAATAGGTGTCAGATGCAGCACCCACATCCTGGGACTTAGGAAAAATGACTGACCTGTTAGGCTCATTCTTTTCCTGTTCTAGAAAAACAATGAAGCAAATCTATTTTCTATCAACTATTTCTTTGGTTCACTACATTGTCTTTTCTGAACTCTCTATTTTATAGCATCCATCCATGTTTGTTGTTTTTAAGAGCCTGAATTGAGAAGCTAACACTCTAACAATGTGTTAGAGTACTATCCATCATTGGTTTGTTATTTCTAAACCTATTTTAAACAACTCAAAAATGAAAACAAACTGATTGCTGTCAGGCCAGTTCCAACTCATGTTAACCCCATGTGTTACAGTGTAGAACGGCTCTATAGGGCTTTCTTCAGCAAAATCTTTAGGAAAACCAGTTATCAGCCACTTCTTCCTGTACACTGCTTCCTGGATTCATGCCACCAATGTGTAGCTCAGTTCAAGTACAAACCATTGGTACCACATAGGGAGTTCTGAGGGCACAATGTTAGGCTGCTGACCCAAAGGTTGGTGGTTCAAATCCACCAACTATTGTGCAGGAGAAAAGATGAGGCTTTTGTAAAGATTTGCAGCTTCAGAAAGCCTAGGAGCAGTTCTACTCTGTCCGATCTCATTCACTGCCGTTCAATCAATTCTGATTCATAGTGACCCTCTAGAACAGTGGTTCTCCACTTTCCTAATGCCAGGACCCTTTAATGCAATTCCTCATGTTGTGGTGACCCCAACTATAAAATTATTTTCATTGCTATTTCATAACTGTAATTTTGTTAGTTATGAATCATAATGTAAATATCTGATATGCAGGATGTATTTTCATTGTTACAAATGGAACATAATTAAAGTATAGTGGTTAATCACAAAAAACAATATGAAATTATATATTGTGAAATATTTATTTCCTTTATAAAAAAATGAAATTTTATCTTGAAGCATGGTGTAGCATGGGTAACAGTCATCACACCTCGTATGTGGGCGCATCTGCATGTTGGCTGACCCGCCTGGAGATGGATAGAGGAGTGGTGTCTCAGTTCCTAAGACCATATGTGTTTTCCGATGGTCTTAGGCGACCCCTATGAAAGGGTCATTCGACCTCCAAAGGGGTCACAACCCACAGGTTGAGAACCGCTGCTCTAGAACATGGCAAAACTGCACCTGTTGGTTTCTGAGATGGTAATTCTTCCTGAACCCACTGCTGATGCGTCTATTCCCCCTTCTAATGACCCTATAGGATAGAGTCCCTGTAAGCGGAAACGACTCAACAGTCGTGAATTTTAGGACCTTCGTTATCCCTGCGTTGTTGGTTGTCCAGTGTCATCGAGTCAGTTCCAACTCACTCTACCTCCTTGTTGTTGTTAGGTGCTGTTAAGTTGGTTCTGACTCATCGCAGCCCTGAGTTGGAATGAAGCACCACCCAGTCCTGTGTCATCATCACAATTGTCCTTGTGTTTGAGTCCATGGTTGCACTCAGTGTGTTAATCCATCTTCTCAAAGGTCTTCCTATTTTTACTGCCCCTCTCCTTATTAAGCACGATGTCCTTTTCCAGGGACTGGTCTCTTCTGATAACATGTTCAGATTTCTTGAAATAATGTTTTGCCCTTATCATTTCTAAGGAACATACTGGTTGTCCTTCTAAGATAGATTTGTTTGTTTGTTTTGCAGTCCATGGTACCTTCAATATTCTTCACCAGGAACATGATTAAAACACATAGATTCTTCTTTGGTCTTCCATATTCAGTGTCCAACTTTCACATATATGGAGAGTAATTGAAAATACCATGGCTTGGATCAGGTGCACCTTAGTTCTCAAAGTAACATCTTGGTTTTTTTTTTTCAACACTTTAAAGTAATCTTGTATAGCAGATTTTACCAGTATAATGTGATGTTTGTTCTCTTGACTGCTGTTTCCATGAGTATTGATTGTGGATCCAAGCAAGGAAAAATCCTTGGCAACGTCAACCTTTTCTCCATTTATAATGTTACCTATTGGTCCAGTTCTGAGGATCTGGTTTTCCTTACAGTTGTTGTCGATACTAAGGCTGCAGTCCTTGATCTTTATCAGCAAGTGCTTCAAGTCCGCCTCACTTTCAGCCAGCCAGGCTCTGTCATCTGCATATTTCGCCTTCCTCCAATTCTGCTGCCACATCCCTCCCACCCCAATAAAACCCATCTCCTCAGATTATTTGCTCAACACACAGATTGAGTAAGTATGGTGACACTATACAACCCTACTGCATACCTTTCATGATTTAAATTCATGCAGTTTTCCTTGTTCAAGTCACACAACGGCCTCTTGATTCATGTACAAGTTCTATATGAGCAGAATGAAGACTGCAGGAAATGAAATATTCTGGAATTCTCATTTTTCTCAAGGTTATACATAGTTTGTTATGATCTACATACTTGAGTACTTTGCATAGTCAATAAAATACAAGTAAACATCTTTCTGGTGTTCTCTGTTTGGAGCCAAAATCCATCTGACATCTTCAGTGATATCCCTTGTTCCACATCCTCTTCTGAATCAGGCCCGAACCTCTAGACAGATCCCTGTCAAATGTACTATTGCAACTCTTGTTGGATGATCTTCAGCCAAATTTTACTTGCATGTGATATCAATGATATTGTTTTTTAGTTTGAGCATTCTTTTGGGTCACCTTTCTTTGGCATGCATACAAAAATAGCCAAGTAGCGGTCTTCCACATTTCCTGATATAGATGAGTGAGTGATTTTTTCTTTCTTTCTTGACTTTTCATGACCTTTTGACTGCTCATGTATGCTATTCTTGACGTCCTCCCAGCTCTTAGCGGAAAAAGCATTGTGCTTCAAGATTGATTCTGAGATGTCCTTCTGGACAATGAATGCCAACTCGTTCTTCTTGACTGTGTTATTTCTGATATAGTAAATCACATGATTTTCTGATTCAAAATAACCAATCCCAGTTCATTTCTCACTAATGCAGCTTTTACTCTCACTTTTGCAGCTGTTTACTTTGGGTGGGGTCCTATCAACAAATGAAGATCCCAAAGGCTCCACTCCCACAGGCTTTACCCCACTCATGTCACCATAACGGACTCCACTCTAAAAACCCAGTTCCTTCTCAGTCACATTTTGTGCGCCTTCGAACTCAAGGGGCCCGTGCTCTGGCACCATCTCTGATAATGTTTTGCTTCCATTCATAACTCTTTCAGTATCTGACAGTGTTTCAAACGTATGCATTTTCAGGGCCACTTACTCTGAAGTGGGCAACCGATTCCTCCTTCATTGTCCTAAGGTCTGGAAGCTTGTTGAAATCTCTTCTCTTTGGGTGACCCTGCTGGCTTTTGAAATACCATTGACATAGCTTCCAGCCTCACAGCAACACACAAACCACCACAGTATGACACTGTGACTTACTTGTGGTGGAGTGATGCAGTCTTTTGAGCTGTCTTTCGTTTGTTCATCTTAGCTATCAGTGATTAACCAGGTTCTGAACTAGATATGAATAGCCCTGGTGGTGTAGTGGTTACAGGTTGGGCTGTGATCCTCAAGGTCCACAGTTTGAAACTACCAGTCTCTCCAATGGAGAAAGATGGGGCATTCGACTCCTGTAAGGGAGTACAGTCTCAGAAATCCACAGGGCAAGTTCTACCCTATCCTATAGGGTCACTGTGAGTCAGAATTGACTTGATGACTGAGTTTGGTTTTAGTTTGGTACTAGAGACTAGGGATAAAATAGTTCCTGTTCTCAAGCTCCCTGTTTGGGGGTGGGGGTGGGGTGCTAGACATGCAAATAATTCCAAAGATTTACTCTGTTTCATGATGAGTTTGACTGATTTATACCTTACTGATGGAACATGAGGGAGAGAAATAACTTTTGCTTGATAAATCAGGAAAGATCCTGTTAAGGTTTGTGCCTCTCACATGGGAGGGCTAGTCTATGTAACCTCATTAGCAGAACCAAGCCAGTTTCATTTAGATTTGACTTCTGTTTGCCTCAACTTCACTGGGTCAGAGGCCGTCCAGAAACAGATGAAGAAATCCCTTAATTCCCTACTAGGGTTAGATGAGGCATTATCTGCTTCATCTAGAGAGAGGGAAGGAGGACAAAGTATTACCAGAGAAAGGCCCAGAGAAGATTCCCATTTCCTTCAGCTTCTATCAGATATTTTCAACCATAGAGTTTATTCTTAGACTATCTTCTTTCTTAATAGGAACCTAACTGCATTAGCCTAAACTGGGTTATGACTCTATCATTGTAGCTTCAATCTGTATTTCTTCACAAGTGTTTAGTTAAATTTTAGCTACATGTGTCATTTGGATAAGGTACCATCTCAATCAGCAATCTTGTGGCTTTCAGCAACAGACAAATTGAACATTATTTTTTCACTGACCTTTAAAAGTTGTGCTTACATTCATCATGCCTACTGCAGTATTATTCCTGTTATATCTGTCAGAAATTGTTGACATGTGACAGGTCCCATTCTCAGTTTGGACTACTTATAAATTCACATTGAATGCAATCCAGGGAAATTCTTTTATTTTTTAGGGTTTTTTAAATTAGAGAATTAAATGTTATCTGGAATTTTGCTTAATATAGAAAAATACACCAAAACCTTTTTAATGATCTGTATCACTACCCAGAAGGCCTTACTAATATTAAAAATAAAATTGTCTTTAGATAATATATCACTTAGGTATAAAACGGAAAGCTAGTTTTTCTTCCTGCTTTGTTCCACTCCTTCATGTCTGCACCTTAAAAATGTACTGCCAGTAGTTTTATACTGTTCCTTTGAGAAACACACTTACTCTAGCATTTGTGTACTTGTTCTTTAGTCACTCAACCAATTCATAAGTCTACTCACCTATTTGTTTTCCAAAAATTACTTGTTGATGGCCTATTTTATGCAGGTGACTTAAACCCAATGGGACGATTCTGCTCCACTCTACTAGTTCTCTGTCAGTCAGAATTGACTTGGCACCAAGAGGGATATTGGGCCAGGCAGAATTTTGTGCCCTGGGGATTTGTCCGTGATCAAAACATGATACTTATGATACTTGTAGTCTAGTTGAGAAAGGGAAATATATAAATAAATACATAAATGAGATAAGACCAGTTTGTTGTAAATATTATAAACAAATAGAGTAATAATAAATAGGGAAATAAATGGAATAATTGGATGTAGGGAAGCTATTAGATAAGGTAGATAGTGGAGACCTTTGTACCATTTATTAAATTCTACTAACAAAGAAAAACATGGTGTGACTCAAATAATGCCTGATCCATTCTATCTTATTTCTAAAGGTGAAACGACACCTGCCACCCAGCTACCTACACCTGCAGTCCAGCGCCCAAGCCCCATCACACTTTTCCAGCCCAGTGTCTCCAGTACTGCCCAGGTGGCCGTCCAGACTCCAAGCCTGCCCCTCCGCTCAGCAGTCCCAGCCCAGCGTTTTGCTGGGCCCTCCCAAACAGACTCTCATCGGCTGCAGTCTGAAGCCAGTCGGTCTGTGAAGAGACCCACCCCTGTCTCTCTGGAGAGTACCCCGAGGATTCCAACCAGTGCAAGTACTGCCCATGTCAGATTTGCAGCCTCCACCATCCAGCCGCCCAAGGAGTATCCTAGTGTTTCCACTTGTCCCAGAAGTGTTCCAATTCCTCAAACTCCGCCCATTCCACATTCGCATGTCTACCAACCCTCTCCCCTGGGCCACCCAGCCACACTGTTTGGGACATCACCGCGATTCTCTTTTCATCACCCCTACTTCTTACCTGGACCTCACTACTTCCCATCAAGGTAAAAAAAATGAACAACCTTTACTCTTTTTCTCTGGAAATACAAATATGATTTTTATTTTTTTTAAATCCCCCAAGGCTTCTCTTTTTCACAGAGAAGACTTTTCAGTAAAATTTAGATAAGAGGCTGAATAGTTAACTTGAATAAATGTAGTGGGTCAGATGAAGACTGTAATGTGCTAGAGAGAGTACCTGTCCCATCTCAATGGCACTACTACATAGCCCCAGACAACTGTTGCCACCCAAGAACACGTGCGCAAATGCTTTCAGATGTGATTTTTCATGCTGGGCAGCTATAAGGGGTCTGGAGATCATCTCCTCAAATGTCCTTATTGTATGGAGCTGTGATTCTCAAGCCTTGATGTGCATATGAATTGCTTAGGATCTAGTGAGGATGCAGATTCTGATCAGTTCATCTCTATTAATGTGTAGTAGACCTGATGGTTCGGCATTTCTCAGAAGTTCCCAGTGGGTGCCGGTCCTCCTGGGTCATGAGCTGTGCTTGAAGAGCAAGGGCGTTGAGAAGGGCCTTGGCTCTAAGGGAGGTTAACAAATCTAACGTTGTGCTCCCTCTCAGTGCTTTTCTTAGCAGACCAGAACACTTCCCATGGAAATTTTCAGTAAAGGAATTGCTTTTCATGAGGAGTACCAAGGGAAAACAAACTTGCCACTTTTCATTTTGGAGGGGGTAACAGTTAGCTTGAAAGTGTCCTGCTGAGTGATATTGATCTCAACTTTTCAATTGCCGTTGAATCTATAGACAGAGGCGTCCTGTGTTGAGATTAGAGTATTAAATGTGTAGGCTAAATAAATCTTCTATTTTTACTTATTTGGAAATGAAAACTACTCCCCACCCATCCCTCAAAGGAAAGGGATATATCGATGTGATTTATAATAGGGTCTCAAGCCTTTATTTCAGAGTTGGAAGGAAATGAGGTGAAGGAATCTGCTCAGCAGGACAGGTGATACTGCTGTCTGGTTCCTTGGCGTTTTCACTGTTCGTGCTAGTAGTGGCACCACTCTGAGGGTGCACCGGGTGACCCTCTCTGAAGGAGGGACACAGAGATGACTACCTATATAATTTCTTGCAGTGTTTCAGCAGAAAATTAATTTTTTAAATAAAAATATCCTCAAAATTAATCATAACAAAACATTTTTGTAAGACCAGTTTACATGTCATTATACTTACAACATATGAATATGATTTTTGTGCGCTCCGCTCAGTGCTGGCATTACTGCCCAATTGGAATGATGCTTTGAATCATGTGGTCTCGTCGGCTTGCTTTAAAGCATGTGCCGTTGTTTCATTGCTGCTAACGTTTATACAGTCACTGGTTTTGTCAAGCTTCAGCTGTGTTAGATACAATATTGTGGTAATTAGTATTTGTGATCCTATATAAATAATTTTTGAAGCATAAAGTAGTAATTAAAGAACAAGAAGACAAATTAAGGCTTCTACTTCCCCACTAACCATCTTGTAACTAATGTTGTAATTCAGTGTAGAAAGATTTTACAGACAATTTTGTTGTTAGCATTCCTAAAGTCTAAGAAATATTATGCTAGAGCAGCTTATCACTATATTTGCCATCAATTAAAATGGATTATAAACATTACTAAGGATTCTGTATGATCTGGCGTGGCATGAGGTCCATGGGAGTGAGGCGTGATACCATGAGTTGCCCCGCTGCATGACACCAACCATTGTGACACTATTGGTTTCTGTTTTTCTTTAGTGACTTTCAGTTTTTAAGTTCAAGGGGCCAAACCTCAAAAGAACCCTGAATCTAGAGATGGATGGATCTATCCTCACTTGTATTTGCTAGGATCTAGAATTTTGTATTATAATTTTAGAAATTTTATAGTATTTTTTATAGCTAGGAAGAGTGCTAAGAACATTCAATAAATGAATTAGACTCATGAAGACTTGACTTGAATTCGGACCTTAAAAACTACAAACTGAAATGATGGAAATGTTCTTATCCATGTCACAAAATTCATTTATAATACAGGGAAACCAAACCAAACCGACTGCTATTGAGTTGGTTGTGAAATCATAGTGACCCCATGAGACAGAATCTTTATGAAACAGACTGCTTCATCTGTTTCCCGTAAAGTGTCTGCTAGTTTCCAACCGGCAACCTTTGGGTTTTTATCACAACACTTAACCACCTGTGGGGTTAACCACTAGGGCTTCTTTCAGGGAAGGTTTAAATAGTTTACGGTCAGGAAAGAGTGTGTTCTACCATAGCACTCTAGTTGTGATTTTGTTTATTATTAGTACTTCTAGTGTTTTGAGAGTGAGGCATTTCTATTTGTGATATGCATAGCAATTCTGTGACCTGGGTATAATACCCTCTGTTTTCTGAGATAAAGAAAGGGAGACATGAACAAGTAACTGGCAGAGCGAGGATGAAGATTTAGCCTTGCCTGGTTTTGAATTTCATGTTTGTTTCTCACTGCATCAGCCACTATCAACACAGCAGCTCCTCTTGATCAGTGGCTGTTAGTTGCTAACAAAGAATCATGGAAAATGCATGTACTTTTCAAGAAAAGCTCATGCATTCAAGTGGACTTTGGGGTAGGTAATATGTACTTACATATTACTGTTATTGCTAGATATCTTTGAGCCTGTTCCAACTCATAGCATCCCCATATCTACAGCATAAGGAAGCACTCTCCAGTCGTGTGTCATCCTCATAATCGTTTTTTAAGTCCATTATTATAGCCCCTGCATTATTCCAATAAGTGGATCTTCTTTGTTATAAGTGACTATTTTACCAAGCATGATGTCATACTCCAGGAGGTGGTCTCTCCTGACAACATGTCCAAAGCATGTGATGAGACAGCGTCTTAGCATCCTTGTTTCTGTAGCGCATTCTTCTTCTGAGACAGATTTGTCTGTTCTTCTGGCAATCCTTGGTATATTTATTATTCTTTCTCAGTGTCATAATTTTAATGCATCAGCACTTGTTTGATTTTCCTTGTTCATTGCCAGCTTCCAATGCATCTGAGGTGATTGAAAATACCTAAGTCATGGACATCTCAGTCTTCAAAGTAACATCTTTGCTCTTCAACAATTTAGGTATTGTGCAGCAGATTTGGCCAGTGTGAAATATCCTTTTATTTCTTGACTGCTGCTCCCATGGGCATTCAACGTGGACCCGAGTCAAAATGACATCCTTGACATCGTCCATCATTTCTGGATTTATCATGATGTTGTTGATTGGTCCAGTTCTGAGGATTTTTGTTGTCTTTGCATTGAGTTGTAATCCACACTGAGAGCTGTATTCTTTGAACTTTTTTGTAGATGCTTCGAGTCTTCTTCACTTTCAGCAAGCAAGATTGTATGAACTGCCACCGCTGGTTGTTAACAAGTCATCCTCCAATCCTAAAGCTACATTCTTCTTCATATGTTGTCTAGATTCTCAGATGATTTGTTCATCATACAACCCTGATGCATACCTTTTCTGAATGTAAACTGTGCAATTGTTTTCTCTTGTTCATATTGTTCTTTTCAAAAGACTGCTTCTTCATGTGTGCAGGTTTTGCATGAGTATAATCAAATGTTCTGGAATACCCATTCTTCACCATGTTATCCTTAAACTGCCATGATCTACACAGCCTTTTCACAGTCGATCAGCTAAGGTACATCTGACATTGGCATTGATAATCCTCATGCCACATCCTCTTCTGAATACAGCTTGAATTTCTGGCAACTCCATGTCAAGTTAATGCTGCAGCTGCTTCTGTATCTTCTGCAAACTTTTACTTGCATATGATATTGTTCAATAATTTCTGTATTTTGTTGGGTTGCTTTTTTTTTAGAATGGGCACAAATATTCATCTTTTCTAGTCAGTCAAGTAATTGCCTTCCAAATTTCGTGGCATATATGAATAAGTGCTTCCAGTGTTAACAATCCGTTGTTGAAGTACCTCAATTGGCATTTTGTCAATTCCTAGAGCTTGGTTTTGGGCCAATATCTTGGACTTCTTCCTTCAATAGTATTGGTTCTTGATCTTATATCCTCCTAAAAATGGTTGAACATTGACTCACATAGTATGTCATTTATAAGCAGTCAGCTACATGGAGTTCTCCAAAGCAGGAATGCAAGTCTTATCAATAATACTACTGTCCCACGGATTTTCTGGTTTCTATCTGTATGTGTCTGATGATCATTTCCCTAAAGAAATGGATAATGTTTATTTAAGTATTTTTCAGTAAAACCTAGTGTAGCTAAATGACAAAATTAATTAAATTA